TAAGGTTAGCATAAGCAATATCAGAAACGACAAGCCCAGCAATTAACGTTGTGTGATGACTATCAATGAAAACTGAACGTTATCATTTGTAAAGACCTAATATTTAATACAGACTCCTAGTTTGTCTAGTATCATTTGTCTGACATGCTTTTGGATTCAGAGCTCGCTAACGCCGGAAGGCCTTTATTTCCCGGGAACGACGTGGACGACCAGTTGAAAAGAATCTTCAGATATCTTTTTCTCAGCGTGTTGATGAAGTTTGGATTACAGAATTTAGGGTGGATTAAATTGGAGGTCCAAATGCCCAATTCCAAATTTCCATAATGCAAAATAAGAGCAAAAAAATCCCAAATTTGTTCACTTGAGCCATGTGGCAGAAATCCAGCTTTTGTTTGGTTTTCTTTGACCACCTGACTGACACGTTGTTGGGCACGCCGACAGAAGAGCAGTGGCAGACCATGACCAAGCTCCCAGACTACAAGGTACCACATTTAATAACGTGACATATGTGATGTGAGCACACTGCCAAAGACAAACTTCCTGTCTTTGCAGCCATATCCTTTGTATCCAGCCACCACCTCACTGGTCAACGTGGTGCCCAAACTCAGTAGCACAGGTCGAGACCTACTCCAGGTACGAGACACGACATTCTGCAGAATGACGGAGTGGTCCAAAGTCTGGACAGGGTCTTTTTGAAGACCCGCATATATTTTTATTGGCCTGAAGCGCATTGTAATCATAAAATTACACAGAGCCCACATCAAAAGGATTTGTTAAAAATACTGAACTCATGAAAATATAAAATGGAACAAGTTAAATGTTACCTGATTGAAAATTAGTCAAATTTTTTGATTGTGTTTCTTTATATAAATATATTACACTTTTTATTTATTTATGTTGTATGTAGCTATTAATATCTTTTAACTGATCAGCATGCAGTAACTATTTTTGAATTAATTTTAGCATCTTACATAAATAAGGTGAAGTACCCCCCCCCCCCC